AGGCTCCTTTCAGATGGCCACGGGCATAGCCCCCACATAGCCCCCACATTCGAAGGTAAGAGATATGGCAGCGCCCTCAATCTTCAATGGTCGGCTACGGACTCCCGCCAACCGGTTGTGGCGCACTGCGCCCCCACTTGAAGACCAAATATACGACAGCGCTACTGCGCGCGGGACAGCGTGCACCAGCTCCGGTGCTAGTGCAATCAAACTCCCATTCCTGCTCTCTTCTCGTGCATGCAAGCAAGCGGTATATCAACATGGCGACCGCGCCCAGACCCGAAGTTCGAAGATACGACAAACCGGAGCGCAGATCGAATACAGGTTCCCTGCAGATGATTACGGCGCACAGCGCCCACTCTCGAAGATCGCAGGAATAGCACTAGGAACACCGCCTAGATATCGGTTCCCATCGAATGACTATGGCGCACAGCGCCCACAACCCCCAACTCAACACCGTACTCCACCCCTTGTTCGCACCCGCACTCACTGTAGACTCCGCTGGACACCCTGCACACGTACACCCTGCGCTTCCTCTACAGCTATGGCAAGAACGATTGCCTTCACCTCCATGCTATAGCCACTCTCGTCTCTCTGCCCACTTCGCCATCGGGCTCTTGCAAATCTCTGACGCATGCTTCGCTGTGACAGCGCTTCCGCACAGCTTACGCAGGAATGAATGAATTATCCGCGAGGCACCCTGATTTATACTTCTGTTCAATACCGACCTGCCCACTTTCCATCGGGTCCACAGTGCCCACAGTCCCATACGGCATCCGCTGACTGAACTTTGGAGGACTGGGACTGGGTACCGCTGACTCAGCACAGGCGGACTTCGACCCCTGGCCATTCGTTTTGACCTACCCTGGGTTACCTCCCACCGGTCACTCCGGGAAATCAGTCAGCCTTCCTAATACCGCAGCTTCTGCGGCCTCGGCCTTTCGGACTACAGCAGCTACAACCTCGACCTTTCGGACCCCAGCAGCTACGGCCCTGACCGCGACCCCTCGAAGAGTTGCAGCTACTGGTTTGACCTTGGCTTTTTGGTCTGGCTATGCCGCAGGTCACCGACTTAAAGCACACCGGGGTAAACAAAACAACAAACAAAACAACAAAAAATAAAATAAAGAAATAAAAATAAATGATGTAGACAAATCGGACCAGCGTTCAGCGCAAGGGCCTGTAGCCGGGACTCCCCCGACAAAACTAAAGGGGATAGTCCCGCGGGACCCTCAACCCCTCAGCCCTTCAATGCTCCAATGCTCCTATGCCGCCGCCCGCTGGCCTTGATCCCCGTACCCTCGCAGCAATAGTCCAGTGCCGTAACCTATAGGGCAAAGCCCAAGCCTGGGACTGACTTGTGCGAATTTCAATAAAAAGATGATATGGCGCAGTGTCCCAAACCTGGGAAAACCGCCCGGGCCTTTATTCCCACCTACAACTGCGTGCACTACCGATAAACACCTGCGCAGGCTCGTTCGGACTGCGCCATGGTTACCATGTATGCTATACGGCGTACCATCCCGACCGTTAGTGGTAGATATGTCAATACTCCAAGCAAATTATGATAACCAAGGAGTCAGGCCAAACCAAAGAGAAGATCACACGCGCACCTTAAGACTGTGCGCCCACGTACCCTCTATCTTAGCCAAAGTAAGTCACAGACGCGAACGTGCCTTGCACAGTCTACTTTAATCCAAACTTACTTTCTGTCATTTGCAAAAACCAGGGCGGACAACCTTGTCAGGGTATTCGCGCCGACAGCACTTGTAGAGCTGAGAATTTTTTGGTATTAGAATGGTTGTGCCTTTACTGCTTGTTGTGATGTCTGACGCCCAGACTGCATCCTTGATCCCAACTAATCTTCTCATAAATATTTTTTGTAGTTTCTGATGCTCTGCATGATTCGTCAGGTGCGTTTCTTGAAGCATTATGACGTTTGTTATTTTGTTATTAATACTTATTAACCTATTTGAGACCCTTAATTATGTCATTAAATTTGTCTTCTTTGTTGAGGATGTTGCCTAGACCATTCACATTCCAGCTTCGGATGACTATACCTTGTGCCCTCCAATTTAGGCTTGGAGGCCTGCTGATTTGCTTTATACCGGAAGTCCTCCATCTGGGACCCTACTGGGTATCATTGAGATGTACGGCCCCGATATCCTAGGTAGGAGGCTTATCCTTGTCAGTTTTTGCCTCTGGGGACGCCTCTGGTGGTTCCGGGTGGAACTCCTTTGCAGGGCTGTCCATCTTATATTCAATCAGCCGCAATTGAATCGTTCAGAGCTTCAAATTTTCCAGGTTCCCATTTTTCTGCTCAATCAGCCGCAATTGAATCATTCAGAGCTTCAAATTTTCCAGGTTCCCATTTTTCTGCTGTGTTGTCCAGCTAAGAGCATACTCACAATAGGACTTTTACTTGTTTATGGATGTAATTGTGGTCAGATGCATCCAGGTCTGAACGTAAATGCGGTCAAATACATTTAAGAGAGCGAGT